AACCCCCCCCCCCCCCCCCGCTCTCACAAGTTGCATATTTGCAACTTCTGCTTTCAAGTACTGCACCAGCACTATAAACTCCCATATAGCGAATGCCCCAAAATTGGCTGAAAAACTATCACGTCTTCAACTATCACGTATTTATTCAAGAGGCTTCTGTTCTGCTAACCTTGGGGAATCAAGGCCTCATGGCCAATACTAGTGCCGCAGATCCACAAAAGCGTTTTTAACCTTCCAATTAACCTAGATCACAATCTTCCACCTCAGGACGCTGTCAAGTCCTAAACAACGTCCTGTGCATCTGTTAAATTGAACCATATGTGCTGACTCCAGTGAAGAAACCATGTTTGGGACCGCTAATTCTGGTAAAGGCACCAAAGAGTTTCCTGAAAATTTATGAGATTCGTCAGTTATCTGCCAACACAAATGGTCTTTATTATCATAAAACGCTACCTATTTATAACATACTACAATCCAAAAGCAAATAGATTCATGAGCTCCTTTGTTTACTAATTGGTAACCCTTAGTCAACTAAATACAGTTGTCAGTAAACAGTAATTTATATTAAAAAGGAGAATTCGACTGATCAAAGGGCTCACAAAACCCACTTATAATAAAAAAACATTCTGCAAACTAGACAGAGAACCGCACTTGAAATTAATGTATCAGCCAAACACAACTGACACTTTTGGTAATAAGAAAAGAGAAGAAGAAAGAAAAACAACAATCCACAAGGTAGCTTAAAACCCGCAAGTCTTTAAAAATTAAGAGAAAACCTTTCCGTATGCTTCAGACTAAACAAAAAAGAATTAAAGGACAGAGTAGCAGAGGAAACTAATAAAAGAACTTAAAAGAGAGGAACAGCTCTACCAGCATTTCAAAAAGAAGCAGAGGCTGTCAAGATCTTCGAAGGAAGCAAAAATATACACTTCATAAAAACACGCTAAAATAGAGCTCCGAATATTTCAAACAAAGATCTCGAAGCTCCAGTCAGACTCAAACTTAGACTGCCAAGTCGGAGGGGGAAGATGCACATCTTTCAGTCAACCGTAGGAGTATCACTAAAGGAAAATTACTAAAAGTAAACGCGGAATTAGCTTCACTTAATTAAAGTCTACCCAAAAAATTCTACTCCCACGGGAAGTTAAAGTCATTGCTTGTCAATTTAACTGTTTAAAAATTAGCCTTTACCATCAAACAACTACTTTCCTAAATAAAAAAAATGCAAGGAAAGAATATAGAATAAGACATACAGAAGAGCATGCAAATTGCAATCATGTATCAGCTGTCTGTCAAGAAAACCCCCGGAAAGTTGGGGACTGGTGGATATTTGCTACAAGGTTCCTTATTTCCTCCTCAATAACATACGTGTTGAGTTCAGGAGGTATTGAATTATACTGCGGTGGAGGCTGATACATGCCAAAATATGCTGGACCACTATGCTGCTGAGCAGCATATACGTTAGGGTAATAAGGAGCTCTGGAACTATGAACATAATCTGGAACCTGTCTTATAAGAGGTGGATTTGGTACAGATCCACGTACGAATGATGCAGCAACAGAACAAACAGACGGTGGTGCAGATGAAATTGCATGATAGCTAGAGCTCTGATTGGGGGGAAGAGGGATACAAGAAGAATTGATCGTTCCCGACGGTGTTGTCGTCGTATTAACGGTCGAAATCGCAGTCGTTGTACTAGTAGGGCTTGGTTCCGTAACGTCACTATCATCCAAATCAATGCAAACAATAGATCGATTCGAGGCCGAGCGGACTAATGGATTTACTGGACTATCAGACACCTTCTTCTGTATTTGAACCTAAAACAATTTTCAAAGAAAGAACCTTTCTTCTTAACTCTCCGACACTTAATCACTTTGATATTAATTACCGCTGCTTCAGGATTTACATCATCATCGCTGTCGCTTAGAACAATAACATCATCATCTTCTATCTTTGAACTTAAATGCGTTTGAGAAAAATTTGGCGCAGATGCAGCTGCTGTCATGCGAGAGGTGGCTGGTACCCCATTTGGTAAATTTTTTGTAGATGGTTCGTCATCATCTGACAGAGATTCCAAATGTTCTGAAACAGGGCGCCAATCCCCATCCAAAAGAAGTTCGACTTCTTGCACGTCATGGCCCACTTTTTTTAAAATTTCTTGAAAATATCTGAAAAAAAATCTCTAACGTCACTGTAGAGATTGAATACCTTATAGGTAGTTTTACCCGTCAATAATAAGCTTGTTGTATGGAGCTGGACTGTTACAAATACCACATTTCCAAGTTGGACGCTTCTCATTCATTTGAAGAAACAATGACAGGTCAAAGCACTGTAGATGCGAACAGTCACTTGGCTTTGCTGGTATTACCATACGAGTTTTACCCAGCTGAAACAATTTTACTTGAGCAGCCCAAGTATAAATATGCTACGTCAAAACTGAACTCAGTTTCTGAGTGAAAGACATAGTAGTCTTCCCCTGCACAATTATCAATTATCAACACAAATCGTAATTTGCAGTTTGGGTAGCAAAACCTATTTACTCTACTAAAGCCAAAAAAAAACTTAGTTCAAAGTATAAATATTTTTTAATCAGCTTAGCGTATTTTCTGGAATTTGAACCGTAACGTCACAAAGAGTCTGCTTTCCATATTAGCCTATTTTCAGGGAATTGGCTAAAGGATTACCGGACACAATAACGAAAGCCTCAGCTTCTCCATTCGTACTCCATCATCATCAAGGCTCCCAGACAAGCGGTCACGAATTGTATGCCTTGTGACACTACTATCGCGATACGCGTTAACGTTTGAGACAAGCCTCTGCCTGAAAGATGAGCGAATGAGAACAGAGAAATCAGTAATCGCTGAAACTTTCTTTTTTATCACCTTGCCAACTTACCAAGCTTTTTCCCAGAGAATCTCCAACATAAAAACCAGCACTAGAAGAATGAAAATGTTAAAAGTGGAGACTTACAGCAGTATTTTCGAATTCAGCCGATTCACAATAAAAATGCCAACAACCCACGCTCTCTTATCCGCAGTCCACTCAACTGTAAGACGATGAGAATTACGAAGACAGTCTCGCTGACTCTGACAATACGGTGTTATGTTCACGGGTCTACTAGGTCTCTTGGGTTCAACATTTGGTTTGTTAGTAGGAATTATATTCTGGAAACCAAAAAATGAAAGTTTTTCTAAAGCTCTAAATCCACTAACATTTGCTTCAAAATTCAAATTCCAAAGAGAACATTGAAAGAAATGAAAAAAATAAATGAACTGAAACCAAAAAATGAAGTTTGTAACTAGGCAAAAGGGCAGCCAGTAATGGTTACGGAGAAATCTGCTATCATCAAATGTACTGACAAGTGAGTGAGAGCAAAGTTAAGGATAAATAAAGAATTGGAAGTATTCCCAACAGAAAGTAAAAAAGAACTAAATAAAAACTTGTCTAAACTAAATAATAAGATAACAAGTGACACTTCAAGATAAAATGCTTGTTGTTAAAAGACTGATGTTTCTAAAAGAAAAAAAAAGCTAAATCCGCATCAAAAAAAAAGAGGAAAAATACCGGAAGAGTTACTGGTACGTCATCAATTTTAACGCTGCAGTTCGGCGGGAAGTCGTCAGATTGCTCTTTATGCAACTCATAATTAAAAAAGCGTAACTGAATTTCCATACGCGGGAGCGGTGTAGAATCACCTCTGAGTGAAAACTAGCATAAGACAAAAAATTCAGAAAAAAACTGGTACAAAATACACCTTGTCTGCTGAACTTCCGAAAACGTCAGTAATTTTAGAAAAAATGTAAATACTCAAAGAAAGTTTTAAGAAATTAAAAAACGCCTCACTTATAACATAACCGGCTCAAATAGTTATGAGGTATATAAAACTCCTGCATTATCCGAGCGGGAGCCCTGATACCCGATATGTTGCACGCCAAAGGAGTCAATTCCAAAACAGTGCATAACTTGAAAAGCGATTTTTACACATTAAAAGAAAAGCAAGTGGTCGTATCTATCAGTACGTAAAAGATTAACGACAAACCACTGTGCATTAAAGCTAAAATGTTCCAAAACGGGGAATAGATCCTAAACAGACTTTGTGGTAATAATTAAAGAAAATTGTCCCAAAAAACATCCTGAATTTTTGATAGTATTTCATCAGATAAAGCAATCAAAAAAAAATCTACACATACATATACAAACCTCATCATAAAATGGCAACCGAGATATGGCTATGCTCCTCTGAGTATAAGGCTGCTGCAGAAGTGGAGCCGAACTGTTGGTTGGCGTGGGGTTGTACACGTTGTTAGCCATGCCCGTCGTCATCATACTTCCTCCATCTATTCGACCATACATTGAGGATGGAGAAACCGGCCTTGCAGGCATGTACCGCCTGCTTGAACTTATTTCCCTAATTTTCTGAGCAACAGCACCTTGATTCCGTGCATTTCTTAAAAGCATGATACACCTAAAACCATAATACTCTCCTGTCCTTAACAGTACGGCAGAACGAAATAAAAAAGTATGTAGTAAGATGACGAGGGAATATAGACGACAAAGTCGTAGTGCCACAGTAGTACAAGAGTACTGTCCAAATCCCTTGAGCCTAATTACTTCAAAAACTATGCACACAGGAGTGTTGAAAAATGTTGATCATCTTGATGTATAGATCCGTAAAAAAAAGTAATTTTTAAACTTCGGTCATTAAACTTCAAACCACATAACACTTATAGACGACTTTTAAGACTGCACAGAATGTTGTTTAAAAAAATTTTGATTGGGATGGAAAACAAAGAGTTCTGCCCCAAACATTCATTCTTCCGTAAGATTACAAGGCCTAAAAGTGTTGGAAAGTTCTAGATAACTACCTTATCTGGCTTGAAATTATATGAGCCGAGAAAGAAACTTAGTGCATTTCAGCCAAATAGCAAGCCGAGGTGATAGGGTGGCAATAAAGTGCGAACGCGATGCGATCTCCTCCGCTGGTGCGAAGTAGATTTTCGTGAGGAACTACACCAAAATACTGTAAACCTGTATCTCGGCTCACCTAACTGACTGTCCCTCTAGCCTCTAAAAACTGTTCAAGACGAGTTGCACCAATTTAAAAGAACAAAAAACTTAAAATTCTTTAAAAAAAATTAACTTGACTCATTTTTTGTAGCACCAGCTAGAATCCTGTACTTCCGCTTACTCCGCTCAGTTTGCTGCCTTATACAACAAAATTTATAAATCTTTGATCAGAGAAGAAAAGTTTCCACAAGGAGTCAAAAACTTGAAAAACGGTATTTGAATAATAGATCCTAAAGCGCACTAATACAATAAAAACTTTAGGTTTTTTCACCACTTAATGGTCTACTATTTCCAAAAGAAACTGTTCTTTTCGGGCAAGTTTCTATTTTTTTTTTAAATCATAAACTGGGTCCTTTATTGAAATAATCTAAGAAGTCGAATGAAAATTATGTGTAATTTGATGCAGAATAACCTACACGCGATTCCATCTAAAATCTAATTTTTTAAAGTGAAGGAAACAAGGGTCAGTGGAAATAATAACCACTAGACTCTATTTCATTATTACAAACTTGGAAGCTACTTGAAATATAAAAAGGGATACGAACCTAACAGTAGTCCACAATTGAAACCTAATTTTGATCCAAAAAACCCTGTCCTGAACGTAAAAATAATGAGTCAGGGAATGTTTGCAGAGAAATCTACATCTGTCAACACCTCTTTAAAGCATATGCAAAACCTCAACCAAGACAAGCAAAAGCGCTTAAAGAGCGATTCCCAGTATTGTTATCAAGCTTCTCGAATAAGTTATCATAGTTGAAAAGCCGCAAAACCGATCTACGCATGAGTTGACTACAGGAAAAGCACTGCAGCATTCAAGATGGCAATTCCCTTCAAAGATAAAGAAGAAACATTTTCTGACCGTGACTTGATTGCAGATAAAAAAGTTTCTAAAAAAAAGCCAAAAATGCATTGACAAAATTACAAAATCTCTAGCTTTGTCCACACCTGAATCTTAAAACGATCCTGTCAAGAGTTAAGTAATTCTGAAAGAATATTGTATCTGAAAAATAGAACATCCGAACATCGCTGGTACGCAGAAAAGTAGAAGTTTTGATAAGCAATTCCATAATACGGAGATAAAAAGAGCGGAAGATGTGGACATTACGGTAGGTTAAATTGACCACACCTTTTAAGCTATTCTGACTATTAATTTTTCTGCACAGATGACCTACAAGATGACCAAGCGTTACAAAAACCCGGCAACGACCGGCAACAATCCAAAAACAATTATTAGCTTCTTGTGTAACCTAGTCTTTTAGAAATTTAAAAAAAAGCTTTCGAGTAGTTGCCAATAATTTTTATTCTGATGTATAAAATTTCCGTTATGACGTTTTCGAATAAGCAATACCAAAAAGAAATTAATTTTCTTCCAATCCAATAAAACAAAAGCTTCATGAAAACCCTGTGCCAAATAATTGACATGTTCCAACGAAACAACTTTCTAAACAATAAAAAAATGTTCGGTTCATGATCCAGAAAAACCTTAAAATATATTGAACTAAATGAAACTTTTTACCACTCAAACTAATAGGGCTGTGGTACCTCAAGAACAATGGAAGAAAGTGACTTGCAAGAAAAAACCAAACAGTAGATTTCCCACAGCACATAACATTCCAACTTCAAACTTCATCAGTGCTTCTTTCTTAGATAGAGCAGAAACAATAAGCTGATTTTCGCTAACATACTAAGAACTATCGAAGCAATAACAAATGACTTCCTGAAGTTTGAAAAAATTTTGAAAACGACTTCGTTCAACTACATGGACAGAACATTTCTCATTTCCTGACTTGACTATTTACAATTAAATACCACATTTAATTTCAACCTTAAACAAAGGGAGGCAAAATATATAAGAATTTGCATTAAGTTTCTAGACTTTTGCAGAAGATGTAAAGATCCGTCTGCATATCTGGCGTTTTCAGCTTAATCGGCTGGAACTTGCTTGTTCTCCCACACAATCGACAGTAGGTTAAAAGGAAAAATAGATACAATATCTAAGCGAACAAGGTCCGTGCAAAATGACTGAGAGTTCTAACGAATATTTTTGCAATTTTAAACTGCTAAGAAATTTGAATGGAATTAAAATTTGCGTTTGTCCAGCAATTCCCAAATTCGAAGAAAAAAACGGTCCACACAAAACAACTAGCCAAATCCATTGTTGAGAACAGTTTTTCTGGCAAATACAGGAATTATGTCTGTTTGAAAACCGTCTGGCTCAGAATCCCTTGTACCCATGAGCAGAAGACATCCATCAATCGCATGCCCCCGTCTTTCACTTCCTAATTTACAGCACCGCAATGATGCAAACCTTCGGTTACTGGTAAAATTCATCTGAAGACTGGTGCAAGGCGTAATCACCCAAAAAAAAAAACAAGCATCCCTTTTGAAAATAATTTGAAGTTTTCTAGAAAACCCTGAAGCGGAAAAGGTCAAGCAACTTTAGAACTTCATCAAGCAAATATACCGAAAAATATTAATTTCTAACTGCCCCCCTTCAAAAAAAAAAAACCAATAAATTACTGTTTTCAAAAATCTGAATGATACTGCAAAGGAAAAAGCAGCCACTGAAGGACGCATACGCTGGGATTACATTACTTTTAACACTCCATCCATAGATTACTAAACAAAAGAAATGAAATTATCTACTAATCTGTTCCAAAATGAAAATATAATACACACGGTAACTTTAACAAATTTTCTTCCCAGTAAAAGAACTAACATACTACCAAAACTCTGCTGTTCTCTTCATTATGGTATATTTAACAAGACCACAATTTATAAATGTATTCTAAATTATGGATTCTTAATGAATCATCCTTGTAACCATTCAGAAAGGTAAATCTTTGTAAAAAAAGAAGTGGAAAAAGTCACTTAGAAAAAAAAAACGCAAGCTGCCGCATTAACCTAATTAGGCAAAAAGCAAAACAAATATAAAGCAGCAAAAGAAAGTATCCATAAAGACGAACCAAATATTAGCCTGACCCCACACGAGTAAACGTGAAACTACAACATAAATACAACAATGAAAAAAAAAAAGAACAAAGTTTATTTTGTCTTCCAAATCTTTTTAGTAAAGGCGTTAAAAAGACTTGGAAGACAAAATAAACTTCCAATCTCAAACAAAGGCTCTTTATACCAGAACACTAAAATCTTAATTAGGGACTTTTGGTTCCAGCTACCACATACTGAAAGTCAAAGCTTTTTCCAGTCTTATCTTCTTCAAAATCCATGAAATCTAGCAATTTTTAATTCTTTTGGCTGTTTAAAATCCTTAAAAATCATTTCACCAAAAATACATTCTAGCTTCTCTTGTAATCCTTACTCTTGAAGAAAACTTTCAGACTTTTTTTTATCTATGGACTTTTAAACTTTTGCTTACGCAGAAGACTTCGTTTTCCATTATCATAGTTTGTAAGCAGAAACAGTGTACAAAATACAAAAAAATGTAATCAATTTCATTCTAAAAGCAACAGTTGCTCCGAAGTCCAACATTTTTGAAAGCTGTATAAGACGGCATGCATCAAACACTACGAGCAAAACAGGCATGAGAACTAACTTCTACAACACTGCCGCTGTGCTATTTATCTGTTTTAAACTTTAGGCTAAACTAGCATTCTTATCGCCCCAAATTCATTAATAAAGCCTTGATGTGCAGAAGAAATTGCGTAATAAATTAGAATCGGAGAAAATTTATTCAGTCCTATCTTCAAAGTCCCTTCACATTCAGACTAGAGAATATCTGTTTGGCAAGATGCCAGCGTCTCAGTCAGTTAGCTGACGGAAGATTCGGAAACAACGATGGAAGCATTCGAATCGTACTTCCTCTTTCCCCTTCAAAAAACTTATTTTTAATTTATCTCTATGCTCATTATTAATTCACTCCAAAAAAATTATAGTTTTTTGCAGTATAAAAGTAGTTTTTCACGCGTACGTTGCCGACCTTCGCAAAAATATGAATTCCAGATGCAGTTTCTACTGTCAAAATGAAAAATTCATATCAACCTCTCTAAAAAAACCACGTCTTTTTAACGCACCACAAAGTAACAACTCTAGCTGTGTTCAGTCTAGGTGAGCCGGCCCAAAATTTCAAAATGCCAACCTACGCTAATTTCCTTTAACTTTTTCATTCTGTTACCGATTTCTTAAAACTAGTGCATATTATTTCCTTGTCTTTTGGAGTAACAGTCAATAACACTTGAATATAAACGTTCCAGATCGAGTTTTCAAACACAGTTTGACAACTTAAAAAGCAAAAACTAGTTATAAAACATAAAAAATAAGTTTTTTAAAAAAAGTAGTAAATGAAGAGAGATCTAACAGAAACAGAAGATTAGAATCCCTAAAACACAACTTTTTCACGCAAATCAGAGAAAGCCTTGAGTCCTCCTCACTGATTAGTTTGGGCCTCTTTTTTTTTTAGACCTGTATGTTGCGTTAACTGAAAAAATGTTGTACTTTTTCAAAACTGCAGTACAAATACCTGGATTTCAGGACACTATGTAGACATAGGCATAAATTAGTTTTGGAGGCGAAAGGAAGATAGTAAAAGCAAGGTCAAACTCAAATGCCACAAGCTTTTTATAACCACTGTTTTAAGCAAAAATAGTCCGCAAAATGCAAAAAAATAATGGTTAACTAGGAATAAGTGAAAAAACTTCAAAAGCACAAACAAAAAATGTAATCAGTTTCACTTTAGGAGCAATAGCTGCCCCGAAGTCTAACACTTGTGAAAATCCTCTCAAGTCCCTCAGAGTTAAATTACCTAAGCCGACACACGCCAACTTATACAAATAGCTCACAAGTCCACAATTTCAAAGACCTGAGAGTTACAATCTTTTGTTCCTTGATCTTAGCAAAAACAGTATATGCAGTTCGAATTTCAAAAAATGCTAGATACTTCCGAGATACAACCCACCCTATTCTTGAGAGTTACGAAATGCCAAGCAAAGAGATTAGAACAAGAACACAATTCTTCCTGGAAATTCTTCTAAGAAACGCGCACAGTTGCCACGCTACGTGTGAAGTTGAGGAACATTATTTCACAAAACATCAAAAATCTATCCCGATCTCAATTCTTATAAACTACTCCCAGGCTAACCTTCAGACTTCAAGGCTTTTTGTCTAAAGTAAATAAGAAAAAAAGTTAAGTAATCATATTCTACTGTCTTCTTCTCAAGCTTCCCTCTCCGTCAAAAACCAAACAGAAGTTCAAGACGACAGAGCCTGAAGTTAAGAAAAAATTGTGCTATGAACATTTTGTACTAATCATCCCTTTCACTATTAAGATGCATATGATTTAAATTGCTAAATCGCCCAGATTTCGACAACCATACTTACTTCACAAATGAAAAAACGAATAGACTAAAGAAATATTGCTTTTTTTCCCCATGGTAAAATAAACTTAGAAATAGAAAATAAAAAAAGAATTATTAAAAACTGAAAAAATGACAAAAAGGCTTCCACTCACCTCTGAATAAGTTCATTCTTTTTCCCAAGCTTCGGACACTTGAACGTCGACAGTAATATGTGCAATTCATTGACACGAAACTGCTGAACAGTTAGCTAAAAGTTTTTCTTTCCAGTAACCTAGCAAAAGAAAAAGTTTTCCACCAGAGTGCCTGCCAAGCAGACAGAACAAATAAAAATAGAGAGGAAATAAATGTATAAATGTCATTTAGCAAATCCCAAAGGCTTTACAAATGTTCCGCAGAGAAATGCATTCATCAATACTAACATAAAAAGCCATGTAAAAATTTACACACTTATACAGAAACTGTTTCATCATATGATATGCTTTTAAAAATCTTTCTTACGCCTAAAACTGTTGAAGAAAGCAATCACTCAGAAACAATGTTACCGCGGTTCAGCGACTACCACTTCACAGTTCTTTCAGAATTCGATCTCAAACTCTGCTGTCCACACTTACACAATTTCGTTTGACCACTTTCTCAATGTTAACATGATATCATATACACAAGCCTGTTTTATAACTCCAAATTTAGCAGCCTCAAGAGAACAAATAAATTTACGTACAAACTTCTTATCTATTACTCACCAATAACTTCAGATTCTAGTTATTCCAAAATACCCAGATTTGTAACTTTGAAGCTGTCTATATAAATGCCCCAAAAAATGCCAGAAAAAAACCTTAATAAATAATCATAATGGAATCGTAAAAACCGGAAAATTTTTCACTTTTCTCATCTATGACCTTGCACTGCTCTTTGTTTCAACTTCAATGGACTCTTCCACAACAAAAAATACCAAAAATAGGCCACAATCCACAGAAAAAAAGTAATCTCAATGGCACTGTACAATGCAAAAACACCTCGAATTTCCCAAATTTGGACAAGAAGAAATAAGTTTCGAAGTGGAGACGCTATATCGCAGCAATAGTGACAGTTACCGTAAAATAATATTCTGACTGAAAAACCTATCAAATTTACCTCCAGCTGTTCCAGTTCCGACCTTGGAGTTGCAGCCATGAGCCATGTACCATCAGTCAAGTATAAGCTAGAAGCAAAAGTTAGCCACACCTTATAAAAATAGATTATAGCACCCAAGATTCAATTTGCTCAATCGATTTACGGACATTGAAAAACCAACTTGCTTCATAGTTCGTAGGCAAGAACTATTCACAATAAGTAAAAAGAAATACCCCACCCTTGAAGCTAACTGTACTGGTGGTGTTAAACGAGTTCCAACGCGTTGTCTCATAAGAAAAAAAGCCGAAAAATAGATCCAGGCCTACTAGTAGACCTCGGCCCCAGCCCGTGACAGTCTTTTTCTGCCAATTGCACAGTCCCCACCGCAAAAAAAAGATGATTAAAATTTGAAATCATTGCCTTGTGACCCAAACATTCACGGCCATTACAATGTCCCAATGACATTCCAAGTTTAACAGCGATAGTCTGAAAGACAGTACCTTCCTCCTCTACCACACAACAGAAGTACCGACTACTACAGACTACAGTCCCACCACATCAAAGCAACTCCAAATTTACCACTCCACAGCACTCAACGCAAAAATATGTAATTCCACCGTTTCCCCCCTCACCCTGTCTAAACAGAAACCACAACGGCTCAAAACTTCAACAAAACCTGACAACCCTAAACTACTGCAGTTATAAGGCAAAGCAAAAGCAGAACATAGAGAGTAATTTGAAAAATAACACCAAGTGCAACGAAAAATCCCGTGAAAGACATCATGAAAACCAGCAGTTCACCTGCTAAAATTAAGAACCAAATATAAACATAAGACCAACTTCAAGATATTGCGGACGTTCAAGTCGACAGGATAAACACCATTATAAGATGAAAACAGAAAAACATAAATAACTTTTATTTCATCTAGACTGTCTAACACACAAAATATACAGCAACTAAAAACCAGAGGTTAATCTCCTTTATTCGCTCTCCAATTCATATACATACGAACGATGCAATAATTACTTCCAAAAAAAGCAATTTTTTCCATTATCGCCTATACCACAACTGAGCTTCCCGCTTCCGCTTAATTTTTTTTTGTAACTGTAACACACCATATAAGAGAGCCTCTGCAGAAGGAGGGCAACCTGGCACATAAATATCGACTGGCATAATACGATCAACACCTCTCAAAACAGAATAGGCATAATGATAGTAACCTCCACCATTGGCGCAAGAGCCCATACTAATCACCCACTTTGCTTCTGGCATCTGATCAAAAATTCGCCGTACAGCAGGAGCTATTTTATTTGTTACTGTTCCAGCAATGAGCATCAAGTCAGTCTAAAACAGCCTTTAGTAATGTATACTTTCAATAATACTTTATAAAGGGTCTATTGCTGCAGCAGAACTACAGACTGTTCTTTCTCCATTACATTATATCATGGAAAATAAAAATTGGGAATCATGAAAAATCCAACCAAGTTTTGTTGAGAAAAAAACATAATCTTTAAAAACTGTACTTTATTTAAAGAAGTAACACAACCTGACGAGGAGACGGTCTGAAAACAACACCAAAGCGATCCATGTCATATCTTGGGGCAGCAAAATGCATCATTTCCACTGCACAACATGCTAGACCAAAAGTAAGGGGCCATATAGAATCACGCTGGAGCATATTTATAATATCATCAATTCGAGCCAAAGCTACCTCTCCTTTAGACATTGGCTCTGTAAAAGGTGTTCCAAATTTGTTCCACATTCCCTAAAAAAAATATTCCTGTAACCAACGTTCCTACAAATTAAAAAAAAACTGGATTAGCATAGACTTCCAAAGGTGAGCCAATAGAACATAATCTTAGTACATTAAAAATAAAACTTTTCGAACATATACGTTACCATACTTTAGGCGCTTTATGGACATCTGCAGCAGAACTCGCACTCTGCGGTGGCAGAGCGTTGGAAGCGAACCTAACTTGCTTCACGGCATGCCTTAATGTCCAAGAAGCCCTTGAAAACATAACTAAAAATGTTAATTAACACTATAATTAAAATCCATTATGCAATCAGAAAGCAAAGTGCAAGTTTTAATCTGACAATAAACAAGCGGCAAGTTAGAAATTGACCATAAGCTTCTAAATTTCGCACAGAAATCGACCGAAGGTATCCAATTAATACATTGCAACTACTATAATAAAATTCAAACCAAAATGATACAAAATAATCATTTGTTTTTATTGCATGAAAGATTACATTGCATCTTCTACTAGAAATTAAATAACTTCAACAGATTGTGGAGAGTACACCGAAAGAAAAATTAAACGAATGAAACGTCGAAAAGCCGATCCATACGATGGACAAATAAAAATGAAGAGTGTTGAAACAACACAAATAAACAAGGACAAATAGTTCCCTACATCGCTCAAGCGACGGATCCAACCTCGTTTTTCCACAAAATTTAGCCGCTTATATGATTTCAAAACCCCTACTTTTCCGAGACTATAAAACATACGCAATACCAACTGCTCTAAGCAAACGTCTAGTTCCTTCATTAAGCCACACACAGGCAGTGTCCACCAATATCGTAGTCAGAAAGTCGCTGCAAGACCGTCGTTAAACGACCATGTGCAAAATACAGTCCTCAAGTGCAGCAACTTTAAATTTGAACCTGAAAACGAATGTCGAAGAAACGACGGTTTACGTGATGGTGTTACAGGGTGGCTGGAATTGTAGATTTGAATTGCCTGGAAATTGGGTAATTGCATGTTCACTTCAGATTCACTTCAGATTCGGCAAACTACGACATCTTTCGCAAAAATATTCATACAGATGCTATCGTAATCTAACACTAACTTCTTAATGCATCGCAGACCTCATTTTCTGCGGAGCATGCAGAAGGACCGTATTATGAAATCTCTATCAGTTAAGTGAATGTTGTATCCGTGATTCGCAGAAAGTCTGGCGAGAAATCCACAAAATCTTGTTAACAGCCTCTGCGCTCCACTCACTTTTACCATACATTTTTCTTTCGTGTTTTTAGCCTTTGTTATTTTTTTTTTTTTTCTTTTGCGTACAAGATTTTCGACTTCGCTTGGTTCATATGTAGTGGTTTCGGACTTGTTCACGTATCTCCTTAATTTTTATGATTCAACGCATAAGTGCCGTTTCGTCGCTTACAGTGTTTCACAACACCGCTTCCCCGGTGAAGCCTGATGCAATGGAAGTAATTGTGCTTCGTAATCACAACTCTAGAAAGCTCTAGAAATTTGCATCTCCCATGTTCCTTGACCTTTTTCCGGTTCGCCTGAAAAACTCAAGTAATGCAGCGTTTTATCTGTGTATTTAGAACTTCTTAGTTGATAAACTGAGCAAATTTGTTGGGAAACCTCCCCGAAGCACGTACTCATGTATTACTTGAGGTCTTCAGGGTTATTGTTGGTTGTTGTGAGTAACGGACACTTTCCTAAAATAAAGAATTACTACGATAATAATTCTTCTACACTCTCAACAAGGGCCTTTCTAGTAATATAATATTCTTACTGTGGGTCGCAATTTAGCCCTTACTCGCCATAGTACCAACCAATAGACTGTAATCTTTATTGATTTGAGACCTTTGGTTTCTATAGCTCTGATCTCCTGCAGCTTGACGATTTATGTACCTCTTGGGTAATGTCTTCTTACCATGTTGGAACCTTTTCTTACAGTTCAACGCTTTTATTCTCACCTCACCTTTACATTTTACAAATAGAAATCCTGGTTGAAACTGGTCCACATTTAGTAATATACTAAGAATGCAAGAATGCAAGCATTATGAAACTGATTGCACTATAAGTATGCTTACAGCAACAGAATTAACAACAGAAAAATAAACAGCAGTTTCTCCTGGACGGAACCCAAAGCCGTGCAATTACGAGATGCATTTACTGTTCATTACAGTAAGCACCACCTATAAAATGCAGCTGCCAAATGTCATGAAAATCAAAATGGTGCTTCAGCAGTAGCTAGTTAGGAAGTTAAGGAAAAGCATGTGAACGTATTTGCAGTTGTTACTAATGAGTCTTCGTGAATACTGTGCGCAAAAAGTGAAGGTCAGTTTACTGTAAAGCAGCTTGCAACTGTCCACGCTTAGTCTCAATATCGCCACATTCTTTATTGACGTTCCTTTTTTGTAAGCTGACGGAAGTCCTTCGCAAACGTTAAATTAAAATAAGAATCCAGAAAATTAGGTTTTTTGTGGGGGGAGAGGGGTAAAGTATTCTCAGCGACAAAAAGAATTGTCATATCTGGTCGTTGTTAAACGATGTGCGCATTGTTGATTAAAACCCCTAAAAACAGAAATCGCGAACGAGATTTCTGAAGTGCAGAAGAGAAGCAGTCGGAAAATGTGAAAAAGTTGGAGGAGAAAAATACCATGATCTTGTCGCAAAATTTAAATGGTTACTGCAAATTTAAATGGTTACTAACAGGGTATAGAAATCTGGATTGGATTAAGATATTCTTGATTTTGTAATGCCTTTTTTCTAACCCCACTGGCGCTTTATGGTATTCTTATGAGATTCAAAACATCGTCTACGGTAATGTCTTATTCAGAAAAAATTTACGGAGTAGTTTGGAAATAAATGGGTGTAAAACTGTGCTAAATTTTTTGTAGCATTAATTTACTATTAAATTGTTCGTAGCGAATCATTGCAATATTGGCTTTGTGTTGTAAAAACATTTTTTTCTAGATTCGTGCTCAGCAACACCAGAACTCCATGAATGCTCACTTGTGATACTTTAAAAAAACACTAATTGCACGACCGCGTTTAAACCAAATTTAAGACTCTGATGCTCCAATAGCCATCTGACTGCTTTACTTCTGCAAAAGGCACTCTAATCAGTACTAGTACGTGAAGGAAATTCCACTTCCTCAGTAACCGGTTTTAAAGGAAGCATTTTTGACCACACGAAAATAGATACCAAAATTTCTTTAAAGAAAAAAATTGAACTTTCAAAGAAAAATAACCATGTACTGTTGCTGGGAGGCTGAATAGGCTGAATATCCGCATGTTATTACCACCAGGGACATAAGGACCTCATCAGACCCATCACCACTCCGGCACTGAATTGCCAATTTCGTACCCTTATACTTTTCACAACACCGTTTGTTGAGCAAAAAAAATTTATCCATTAATTTAAAAGCAGATGCATCACCATAAACGAGGAAGAAAAATTAGTTGATTTCGCATTTTTCAGGGTTTCTTGAATGCTAGTCCATTATTCGCTGCTGTAATGAAACTCTCGTCCCTTTTAACACTCAAGCGCTTTACTTGTCTGAAGAATCTGAAGCACCGTTATTTCCCCAATTAGTACTTCTGCGAGAATAATATGCTTCAAATTATAAGAACTACACTTCCCTTTTTGAACAGAATATTTGCAGACAAGGTGTTTTGATATTTACTGCTCGTTGCGCCACTACACTACCAGTACTTGAGCAACCTGCTTTGATTACTAAATCTCTTTTGCTTGAACTTACCTTCTGTTTTCGCCCCTGTTTCCCTTAGTCAAATTGGGTTTTGGTCTGCTAAAGCAGTGACATGTTTGCGTACCCTTGTTCCACCTGTTTTTAGAAGCCAACTTTCTTTGAAGGCACATTGTTCGCCCAATAGTTGCTGAACTTGCTTACGAAGACGGCTCGTGACTAATTAAGCAACAGTGCTAGTGGAGTAACACAACTATAAAGAACGAAGTTGAGTGAGAAGAATTTGCTTATACAGAGAGCAGGGATTATGCTTACAGAAATTCGTAACCAACAAAAAACATTATCTAAATGGCAAATACCTTTGGTCAATTCACTACATAGGGCGCGACACAGTACTTGAGTTACATATCCAGCATTACTAGCTCAAGAAAACTAACTTTTGCCGAATGACTACGGTAGCGCACATCCATCAAGAAACGCGCAAATATGAAAGAATTTCATGAATGAGCAACTTCATGTGTACAAGAAGCAACCTACAGGAAAAGAATTACACGACGGCTTCAGAATTTTTGAAAATGCAGAAACAGTATGTTTCGGCAATATCATGTCAGACCCCACACTCCCACTCAACATCTCAATCTTTTTTAAATTTTGCTCTTTAGCAGGCGTAATTCCGAATAGCCAAATCGCAGAGAGGTTAAAAAATAATCACCTACCCAAGACATCTCGCGGCAAACCGAAAAAACCAACCCACGACGTCCTTCCCGGACCCGCCCTGTAATAAGATTTCTGATTTTACAGGCAGAAGGAACTAATGAATTCTGCAGAGCAAGGTTCTGCATGATATCAGAAAGTTTGCAAAATGAACTGGAAATAAAGTGAAAATTTCTACTTCCTTGCTTTACATTCTCTAGTAACTTGCTGCATCATCAAACTCTTTTTTAACCCTTTTAATAGGTTTAATAATTTCCAAAAAAAAAAATTTTGAAAGTGCAGACTTGGAAAGATTTTGCATAAGTAACACTAACTACGACTGCAGTAATCTTAAATTACCGAAAATAATGTAAAAGTCAAACGCGTCGAGTAAAACAAGAACAGTGGACTTTGTTAAGGGCAAGCTGAGGCGTAGGTCCCACGATATTGGAATGCTGGGCCAGAAACTGGCGTCCCCACCTCGCTGGAGTAGTACTTGCCGGTGACTTTATTTCCTGAGTTTCCTGTTCAGTTTTGCAAAGTTGTGCTAATAGAAAGCGTGGAAACATGAATGCGCACTGAGGAACTTACCAGGACTTCTGAACAAAAACCTGTGGCTAGCGATTACCTACGGTAACCGGTCAACCTTTACCTTTAAAACAGCTTAAGCATAGCATGCAATTCAAGTTGGAATTCAAAACCTTACAAGAGTGTCGAAGAAGATTAGTG